GACGAAGGGAGATTGGTGTTGGATATCACAGACGATTCTTAGAATGGCCTGTTTTCTTTGCTTTTTCTTTTTTCTTTTTTCCCGGATTCGCCGATGGTACTTCGGGCCTTTTGGCGGAAGCTGCGCGAAAGCCAAGAAATTCCTTGCTCGATTTTCCTTTCGGGGACTTTTTGTTTGGATGCCTCACGTATGTGGCACCAAAGATTGGCGTGGGAAAATTACAAACACAAACTACTCAAAACATTGCCACAAACACAGTTAGGTGCTTACTTACTATAGAAAGTTATCATTCTCGTTGTGTTTTCTTTATTTCGCTGTTTCCAATAAATTGTGCTATCTCACTCACCAGTCCTGTTTTCATTCCGTTTGTTCTTTTTCGAGGATTGTCTAGAATATTCATACTGGAACACAGACCATAACAGGGATGGCGGCAATGCCACCTGACATGGCTAATGAAGCCGACTGCATGCCCGCGCTCTGGAACTGTGCCCCCATAGGGCTATCACCGTTGGGTCTACTCCCCCTAGACCTCTTCCCACACATCCCCGCTTTCTAACTTGAGACGGGCGGGCTAGTCGCAGCAGAGATCAAGATACACAGGCTCAAGAGTACATCCACAAGTTCAATTTGACGAAGTAGCTCTATGGGTTTTATACTATGAGATTCATACGCACCGGGCGACAGTAAACGGGGGCAGTTCATTGTCCATATATGAGAATACTGAGTCGAATCCCAGCGCATTAGGGTTCACCCTCCATACGATATATTTCGTCATAGGACAGTATACTGAACAAGTAATCCAGCGAGTGCTATCCAGCCAAAAATGACGGGAATTTTTTTTTTTTTTTTTTCCGTTTTGTTTTATGATTTTCTTCGATGTTTGCCTTGCTAAGAAGCTTGCAAGAACGAATCGAGTTAGCGACGACCTACTGTACAGATGCTGATTCGGATATTGACCGACCACAGCATGGAATAAGGGCTCCCGGCCGAGGGCACTGCATGGTGTTGTGATATGAATCAAAGAATGGCGGTGGTGGCGACAGGATTGGTCAATGACCAGAGGAGCTTATTCGTAGTATTATAGCAGTGTGGAGCATTGGGGGGGCAAGAAAGACGAATCGACCAGTTTCTGCCCAGGAGTGTTCCCTCCATTTCCGAAAACAGCGAATCCAGGAGTAGCTGCATATGCACTGCCGCAAAACAACCCCGAAGCGGTTTCAACATTCCTAAAAAGGCGTCCCTGCTTGGGGCGTGAAGCATTAAGCAAACCGGGCCGGTGACTGACAGGACGATAATCTCCCAGGGACGCTGTAGAGATGAAACCATTGGGTTCTTCATCTAAATCATTGGATAATCACCGTTTTTTCTCACCCACTGTGACGCAGGTGGCCCATTTGGTGCATCATGTAGTGACTCGAACGGGATAGTACCCTTCATGCCTGATCCAGGTCAGTTAGTTAAGAGCTAACACACAGGTGGCTTTTCAATAGGGATCTTGGAAGATGTAGAATTTGAAAGATTTTCCGTGGTTAACACGCTCTTTTCTACCATATGGTTGTCGAAAGGGGAAAAAGAAACGAGTACCGGTGAAAGCACTAAGCCGGTCATGGCCAGGCCATTCAAGGTTGACAAAGGGGCAAGAAATACTTACTATCTGGTAGTATCTGAAAATCACTGCATCCATCGCATACTACCCTTTTTAGTTGGGGACCAAATAGGGATTCTCATTGGTTACCAACCAAATGCGCATAAATCTGAAGGTCGAGACAACGCTGAGAATAGATAATCCTCCGTTATGGTGGTACCGTTGGATTCTGTGATTGGGGGCTACGCATTTCTGCCCTGAAGTCGGTGAGTTGTTGCTCCAGTTTGAAATGACGCACCTGATCTTCTGCGAAATACGAAACACAGGGCGTCCTGCGATAGACGCGACTAGACACGGAAGAGAGAGTGGGCTTTGACTCCTCGTTACGGGGCTTTTGAGGCCAGCCGCCAACCTGCTGACGTATTTGGGGGTTTGAGACCCAGGACGAAGAAGACATGGCCGATGGCGCTTACAGACAATCTGTGATATGGTACCAGAGTTTGAAGTTATTAGTGGGGAAGGAAGGGATTAATTTTTTTTTAAAAAAAAAATTATTATTATTTCCTTTTTTCTGTTTTCAATTTTTTGGTTAAAGTTATCGCTATTCTCACCAGACCCAAGAGTTCCAAGTGGAAGGACGAATAGACAGACACGCAAAGCGCCCGACAGATAAATCCAACGGATGCTGTACCGAAAACGGTAGTGTGGATACAAAACAAATGACACCGCGGACGATGGGAGAGAGAACCTACTACTTTGTACTAACCACCCGTAGGGGTAAATCGGCGCAGGTCACTAAGCCGCAGTTTGAGGGGCTTGCGTTGTTCCACAGCCCAGAGACGCTGAGAAGAGCGACTTTGTCTCGCTTTTAGTTGCTGAAGCTTCTAGGAGACCAATAGAGTGGCCTGCTCAAAAACTCGTTGGCCGTTGAAGTTTGAATTCCTCGACCAAGGTTCATTAGGTAAGACTTTCATCCTTGTCCCTGGAAATGATGGTCGGGTAGTTTGCTTTTCGATGACGGTGTGGGTGTAGTGGAGGCTTCTTGGACGCATGGGACTGTCAACGTTCCAGTCATTCTGAGACATCATTTTAACATGATACACGTCGGCGGTACATTATATGTGAATTCATGGCGAGAAGAAAAAGAAGAGGAAAGTAAATAAAAAAGAAAAATAAGGAAGGAAAAACAAAAAGAAAAGAAAAGGGTGTGGGCGATTGAGCAGGTACTCGAGAGTGTTATGCACGACGACTTACGATGCATGAAGCTCAGATAACTTGAACTCATGCATCATCATCTTGGACCCGAGAGTCTGGGAAGCGGTGAGATGATCACCTGCAACCGATCACACTTGCCTATTACTTACTCCGTACAAATCACATGGGCATGGACTCGGCGCCGTCGTACAGAGTGGGCACTTACGGCCACGCGGAAAGTATGGGATGTGTTCCCGGCGATGCATGGACTACTTGCATGCGTATGTACAGGAACCACGGCGCTTGGGGTAGAGTCACGGCGACGACTTCCAATGGTGTTGATGATCAAATTGACACATTTTGGATAATCCCTTTGTTTACCCTCAGCAGTACCTAAGAAACGCTACCGATATATCTGACTCAATTCAAACGTCATGTGTGATGTCCACTTGAATATGGAGTAGAGATCGAGTATGGTAATGAACATTCGTACTGCGTATTTACGTAGTAGGCGCCTGATACGTAGTGCAGACGGGAAGGTCTGTATGTAACATTGTATTGTTATGTATAACTTAAGAAGAGAGAAGCTAGTGTTAGGCAGAGTAGGTACAGTGCTAAGAAAAATCCTGGGGGGAGAGTAGGGAAAAAAGGGTAAATTGAAAAAAAACTAAAATAAAAATAAATTCTACCCACAATCCGGCATAGTTTCGTACGAACTTCATGGTCGATCCGCGCCAGAGCGGCTGCACGCAATGCCGTCCGGTGATTAGTGACCCTTCGGAAATGGAGGGTTGGGGCCAATTCTGGTTTGTTTTTTTTCGGGCGCTACTTGAAGGGGAGCCACGCCCGAAGCTTCGAATCCTGCAACCACAGTGCTGGTACCGCTGCCTGACGCTTGTGAGCCTGAAATCGAGGGCAGCGATTGTTTGGTTCCGGAGATATTTTATCTTAGTGGCCCACGAGCAAACTTTCAGTCACTTCACTAAGTGTGGGAGGCGGTCCGCATCCCGCCCGGAAGTCACTTTTCGCTTCTCGGTTGGACCCATAGGTCTGCATTTGCTCCAACTTACAAAGACAAGGTAGTACTGACGACTGTGGTGGGAACCTTTTTCACCCCGCCGACACAGTGACAGTAGCAGCGCAAAGAAATATGGAACAACGCTTTACACCGTACGCAGTGCAAAAACCTTTTATGTGTGTGCGTCGTTGTAAATTACCAGGGGAACAGAGGATATTGGCATCCATCTATGTCTTCTAATATTTTCTTATTAATTCATTTATCCAATTTTTTTTCTTAAGATAATGATTTTGGAAAATCAAAAAATGGGACAGATCATCGAGTTATCCTCCCCGAAGCCCTTCCTATAATAGTACCTGACCAACTCACCACTATCAGCCTAAGAATCAATCAAACCCTCTACTAATACCAATCTACCCCGTACATGGATCCTTTTGACAAGACATAATCTAAATTAAGATTTCACTGTGGCTTTGTACTTAATCATAATGTCTTTACCATCTAATTCCCCATGGATTTTTAGCTGATAATTTAGACTACACTTTCAGACCGAGTTATGGACAATTTTGGAGTAAGGAAAGATAGAAAGAGAGAGAGGGAAAAAAGGAAAAAATCGCGGGCTAATGTGTGCCCAGCCATCTATACCTTGTATGATGTATGTATAATGCACAAAGATAACTGTACATGTATGTATGTACATACATATACCATACATACCTTATGATACATCGATACAGGGTATCTTTACATACCTCTTATGTGTACCTGTATGTATGTATGTATGTATGTATGTTGCCATTCATGCACATACATGACATGAACACAAACACACCTAGATCATATCTGAATTGTGCAACCAGCTGGTCAAGATCCATGGATTTTGAATGGGCGCTACCAGAGTCATTCAGGCTAGTAACCACTAAAAGATAATCCATGTAGGGTTGTTGATGACGGACAGGTACTATTTAGGGGATATCCCATGGTTTATGGAGGGGCTGTTTTAACCTTTCCAGCCAATGAATTCAATGAGATACCAACCACACATCCATTCCAAATCGACACTCTCTGTAGCCGGGTACCTTCACTTAGAGGGGAATAGTTTGTTAGATTGTTGAATCACACGCTAATAGAACGGACACTCATATAGCCCAGCACTGCTCACTCCTTTGCGGTTGAAAGAGAGGTATAGATATTA